TGAATCGTCATAATAGTGGCCGAAGTCTTGCCTGAACTGCGGAATGGAAACGACAATACTTCCGGCTTGGTTCTCGTAACCAACCAGAATCATCATCCAAACCATAACCAAAATCCAGATACATGCCTTTGGATAAGTCTTGATTGCTTGCCATCTTGTCAGTTCGTGTTCAATTTTTTGTTGAGCGTGAGCTGCCGCTTCAATTTGACTAAATTCATATTGATCAGCAGGAACACTGGGATCAAGTATAGTCTCAGATACTTCTTGGCGGTCTTGGCCAGCAGGTTCAGTTGGTTGCTTCTCAGCTACAACCTCACTTTCAGCAGCTTTAGCATGTCCCGTGAACTTCTTGAATGCGTTCATTCTATAAAGATTTTAAATTTTTTTGGAACGCTTCTCAAAACACAGACAATAGAAAGGATCTACGGAGTGGGGGAGTCACTTGGTAATATATACAAATTTACCGCTTAGCTATAATGTGGCTTGGTTTGAAACAACCGGTGGCCCCCGGAACTTCATTGCCATTTTTCTGCGAAATTAACCTGACCTGCGGGTCAATAACTGGGGCAGCTTGCATATTAGCGTGCTCTGCTGATGTTGACTGCGTCTAGGATACCCCTACTATCCGGGGTGCAGAGACGCAGTGTGTGGGGTAAGTCTGGTCACACCCCCGGGTATCCTCGGATCAACTGCCCGTGACTTTTAAGCCCCAGTTGTTTCGGCGTGGATGAGATCCAGCAAATTAAGGAGATCCGGGCCAGGATCAAACCACTTTGGTACTGTTATTATATCATTACTCTTCAGACCCGCCAGAAAATATTTCATAGCACTTGCAAGTCCAGTAGCAAGAGTTTTTCCGAACCGGGTCTTTAAAAGAGGTTCAAAACCCCCTTGACCCCTCTCCTGTTTATTCACCCTCCTCACATTTACTCTATTCCCTCGCCCCCCCCCCTCCCCCCTATCAGAGCGCGCCGGGGAATCCCATGCAAAAGCGGACGCTTCACCTCATAGCTTGCCGAATGGGTCTCAATCCCGGAATGACCGAGGCCCGGACACTACGTAATGACATGCAACATGTGGTCGAGCGACTAAATCTTCCCAAAACGGAGATCTAGCCGCAAGGTCGATTTCGTTTGCATATTCATACATTGGACCGTGCGGGGTGTGGAATATCCAGAAGTTCGTATGATTATTCGAACTCGGGGGTGGCAAGAATATCGCTATTATTCTTTTTGCGCTGAGCATCATCTTTCTGTAGTGCTACTCCTTCAAGGTTCGACCTTCAACCTTTTCGAAGATTGTCTTCGTCAACTGTCTCAGTGACATTCCAGGGTTTCGGCTGATTTACTCCAAGATTTTGGTCCCAGTCATTCATGAATAACCTGGGGCATATTTCACATGTATGCGCCAGTATGCAGGAAATTCAGCCTCAATGGCTGCCCTGGCCATACGAAAACTCGGCAGCTTTGGGAGATTCTCAGTGCCGATCTCAAGATGTGCGCACCGAAAGCCTCTAAAAATATGTGGAAATGATTAGGGTATATGCCGTAGTGGCCACAACATCAGCAATACCAACCGGGTACTTACTTCATTAAGCTTAACCAATTGAGGTCTGAAACAATCAAAAATCACTATTGAACTTATCAATCGCATATACGAAGGCAAATATATAAAAAAATGTATCTTATAGCGGTGTCATGAACTTCAGACTGCTTCATGATCAGAAGCATATTCATTGTGCGACACCTCTTGCTTCAACTTGTCATAGAACTTGTCACTCTGTTGTTGTTTCTGGGTCATGTAAGACTTCCACTTTCTTGGAGATACATGTTCAGCAAACAACTCGTCGATCTCTTCAAATGATCTTCCAGCGGTTTCTGGTTGAATGAAATAGAACACAAAAATTGACAAAAATGACATACCCGTGAAAATGAAATTGATCTTGGAACCCATGTTGGCCTGGTCTGGATTGAACATGTATGGCAAACAAAACGACCACATACACTGGAAGGCATAGTTGGTTATGGTAGCAAGGGCCATGGTCTTAGCTCTCAGACTCACTGATGACACTTCTGTGGCCATGATATATGGCAACGGACCGATACCAAGGTTATAAAAGAAGTTGTACATCACCAAAAACGCAGATGCAGCTGTCATTGCGCTGGAGTTGTCTTCATCCAAACCTGCACAAGCAACAATCAAATTCAAAACGGTCAAAGCAGTGATTCCGTAGATCATCAATGGTCTACGTCCAAATCTGTCGATGATGAACCAAGACGTGATTACACCACAAATCGACAACGACTGACCACCACAACTCAACTGATAGGATTTATGGGTCGTATATCCTGCAAGCTGGAAGTAATAGGTGGAGTACGAGGCAACAAAAGTAACTCCC